AAGTCCTTCCTCATTCTAGGACTCTTGTGCCTTATCCGTTTATCTCGGATTCCGATATCTTCGGAGATAACCTCAGCATCATAATCAGGACACGTGATACCTCGGTTGACACGTCGGCGTCACCTTGGCCACGTGTTAGTACTCAAAAAATATATCCCTACAACCATTAATAAAAAATACAATTTTTTTTAATAATATGTTGCCTATGCACTTATTGGTAACGTGATTGCTAATATGACATTTGTAAATACATATATTTTTAAATATATTATTAAATTATTTTTTAAAATAATATTTTCACACGAAACAGAAATAAAGAGAAAATTATAGAAAGAGAGCCATTTGCCCATTTGCCCAGTGGCGGGAAGACTATTTGCCTAACAATGAGTGCCAACTACTTGTGATCCAAGGCCTCGTTTAGCATAACCTATACAATCTATCTTTTTATCTTTTTTTCATCACATCACCTCTCTACTTTTCTGCACATCTTTTCATAAAAAGACAAAAAGTGCACTTTTTTAGGACACCCCAAACCAACCCCAAATAAAAGTTGGCAAAATGCCTCGGGTAAGAGCATTGGTAAAATAGTAAAAAAGTAAAATATAGATAGTAAATTATAAAAATTTTCCTCTATCAGTCTTAACAATTTTTTTTTTTTAAATTAACTTTTTACTGAATTTGTTATAGTACCTTAACAAACTATTCATTAGTTATTCAATATTTTATTATTTTTTTGAGACAGGTCAATATATTTTTTATTATATTTTCTCACCCACTGGACATCCTTCCGGATGTCGACACGAATGTCCCGTGAGTACCTGTAGCAGAAAAAGAAAAATACCCAAAATTAGCCTAATTGGTCGATTGGTCAATGGCAATTTTTTTTTTTTGTACATTTTTTAAGAATTGTTTGAGTGGCACCTCATCAATTTAATAAAAAATAAAAAATAACAAATACAATAAGAAAATAATATTTTAATAGAATTGAGTTTGAATAGAGAGTTTGATGCAGTGAGCACTAAAAAAGTGACTAACTAAAATAGCAAAAGTATATTTTGAGTTATAATTTAGTTGAGACTGATGCAGATACTCTAATGAAGAACCTGTTTGAGAAAGATATATACAACCTTACTAGTGAAAATGACTAATATAGCCCTTATACCTTATCTTTGGGAGTAGCCCTTATAAATACTTTTAAAACATCTACAAGTGACTAATTAAAATATGCTTATGGCTAAAGTAATTAGTGACTAATTAAAATACGCTTGTAGCCAAAGTAATTAGTTATTTTGCACGAAGTACAGTTATTGTTCATTAATTATTTAAATCACATTTTTCTTTCAAACAAGAAGCAGAAAAGTAAGGATAATATTAGGAATACTAAATTTTCTACTAAATTCTACCAAATAAATGACATTTGTAAATTTTACATCTATGTGAGACATTTAATCATTTATTTGATAAAAAATTTAAAACTTATAACATTTTTTGAAAAGTAATTCATCAAAAAAAAAAAAAAAAAAAAAGAGACAGAGCCAGGGAAAAAAAAAAACAAAAAAATTAAAAAAAAAAAAAAAAAACGCATAAAAAAAAACGTCAATTGTCTAAGAGCATCTTCAAAACAGTAGCCAAATCATTCATTTGGCTACTTTAGCTATTCAAAACTTATATAAGTGCTTCAGAGCTGCTGGAGAGCTCTAATTAGAGCACCAGCCGTACAGCTCTAATGAGTTGTCATGAATTAAAAAAAAAAAAAAAACAGTGTAGTAGAAGACAAAAAAAAAGGGAGAAAATGACAAATTAGAGCTCTTTTAGAGCTTCTTTTTTAGAGGTATGAATCATTTTTCATAAGTGCTTTGAAACTCAGTAAAAAGTCTGTTTTTAATATTTTATTTATTTTGGGTCATATCATCTCTTATATTTTTTATTTATAAAAAAGACAAAATAGATTGAAAAAACTAAAAAATTAAGGTAACGTTTGGTAGAGTTTTGTAAATGTGATTTAAGAGTATGAGTTGTATTTTGAGTTTGTGTTGTGGAATTATGATTTGAGTGTAAAAAATTTGTTTGGTAAAGAGTTTTGAAAATAATTTTGAAAAGAGTTTTGATTTGAGGGGAGAATTGTTGATGTGACATTTGAAATTTGATACAAAAATTTACAATTCATACAACTCAAAATTATTTTAAAGCACATAAAAAATTTTAAAAATTTCAGAAAATATTTTTTTCGGTTATATATCAATTTGAAAAAAAAAAAAAAAAATCACTATTCTGGTCGACCGGCCGGATGTCCCGTTTTGAAAAAAAAAAATTTGAAACACGCGCTCGGTTTTGACAGAACAGACAAAGCGTTTTGCAGAGCTGTGGAAAATTAATTCCACAGCTCCATCCAAACACCATACTTCAAACTACCACGTTGAATCACATTTTGAAATCACAACCAAACACAGCTTAACTTTTTATCAACTTCCCAAAACACCACAAAATTTTCTATAGTAGGCTCGCCCGATTGTTACAGTGCATCCTAGAACAGACGAGCAACTGTCTACTAATCAGTGGCGGAGTCAGAAAATTAATTTAGAGGGGGCACTTACTAATTATAATAATTTTTACAAAAATATTTCACGTAAATTTTTTACGATTGATTTCAGGAAACATAAAACAAAAAAATATATTTGTAACTAGTGTATCATGGATAAAACAAAAAAAAAAAAAGGATATAAGCCTTAAAATAAATTATATAATGATAAATTATTTTTTGATACAAAATTTGATTAAAAATTCTATATAATGGTAATACCACGTCATTATTGGTATGTAACATCACCCACTAATGGTAAATAAACGCATAAAGATTGAATCTCACATGTCAAATGTAACTAACAATCTAATAAATTTCATATCTTTATAGTGAGATTACTTATACTCACATATCACTAATAATGACATTGTCGTTACATTCAAAAATTTTCATAGCTAATATGGTTTATTTATAATAGTCTCTTCATTTTCAATCAAAACAACCGTTATTGTTTTCATAATTTTTAAAATGTTATTGACATTTCACTCTAATAATATTTTTAAAATTTTTATTTTATATTTGCAAAAAAAAAAAAAACCAAAAATCCAGGGGGGCACGTGACCCCCTGGTGACATGCTCCCTCCGCCACTGCTACTAATGCTCTAATATTTTATACATTTTATTCCTTTTTCGCTTCTCTCTCAAGGTAATCTTTTAAAGTGTTAAAACTACAAATATATAGAAATGAAGGATTGTACATTGCAAAGTAACAATATTTAAAATTAATTTAGATCACAATAAATAAATATCAAAAAAAAATTCATAATTAATCACGACAAAGTTTCATTACCAAATTCACTATAAATTTAAACGCAATAAAATCTCATAAATAAAATCATAATTAAGACCACAAAATTTATAACTAAGACCACAAATCTTTGTAATTAGAGCATGTGTATCATAAATTTGTAAATTAAAAAATACGATTGTTCAAAAAAATATAATTATATTTAAAAAATGAAATAAATAATGTTTTTTTTTTAAATAATTAAAATAGAGAGTGTTGTTGGAATGTGTATTGGAAAAGTGAATAGCTAAAATACAAAAAATGAATTTTAGCTAGTTATTTTGACTAACCATTGTTGGAGATGCTTTCTAATAGCAACTCCAACGGTCAATTAGTAAAAAGTATAGCTAAACCTATAATTTAACAGTGATAAGTACAAAAAAGTTATAGAATAGCAACGCTGCCCCAACGGTGAAATTGCTATTTCTTAGTTTAACTGGACGATCAATCGAACGATTGGCTGGTTTCAAAATTTTGCAATGCAATTTCACCAAGTGGTCGACCACTGGTCTCCCAAAATTGTTTTACTGGTAGCTTTAATTATAGGTAAAACTGGTGCTAAATTTGATAGATGATATAGCAAATATAAAATTTAGTAGCTATGATTACTCACCGTTAGAGATGAAAAAAAATTAAACTCCATACTATTTTATAGAAAAAACAACTCCAATGCCTCATTGTTGGAGTTGCTTTTATGTATTGAATTTTATATTATTTTCACCCTTTTTCTAATCACTCAGGTTCTCTTTGATTATAAAGAAATAAATAATGGAAAGTGAAAATAATAGAAAGTGAATTAAAAGAAAAGAAAAAGAAAGATAAAAGAAATTATATATTTTTTGTATGAATTTGATTAGGATGAAAATTTTGTAAAAAAAATAAGAATTCTAATTATAAATAACTACTTTTATAACATTTTTCTGTAAGAAAGTAGAATTTTAGTTATCATACTATTATTAATTTTCTTGTAACTTTCACTACTTTTATACTAATCAAACTTAGAAAATTTTATTTTTCTCCATTATTTCACTTTTTACCACTTTCATCCTAACTAAACTCAGCCTCAAAGCCTAACTTCAAAAAATGATATTTTTTTTTAAATGTAAGAGAATATTTTGAAAAATAATTGCTAAAATAAATAGTTAAAGTAAATAAAAAAGAAAATATTTTAAATTGTTATTTTGACCATATTTTAAAAAAAATAAAGAAAAATTATATAAAAAAAGTTTGACTCTTATAACAAAATAAATTCTGAACTTTTAATTCTGTCATTTGAAATCATAAATTTCTGATTTGTTTTTAATCTAAACTATCTGCCTATTACTATTTCCGTTAAGTAAAATTGACAAAAAAAAGTATTTTAGCAATTAAACTCAATAAAAATTAATATTTTAGGTATATTTACATGGAATATAACAACTAAAATATAATTTTTTGGTCAATTTTATTACCTAATAAAAAATATTGATGATTTAAATTGAAAATAAATTAAAAGCAATGCATATTAAAAATAAAATTTTGGTAATTTTTTTAAAAATAAAAAAATTTAAAATGTTGTTGGAGATGTTGCATTGCATCCGAAGGAACGGGTAGGGCTTTAACCAAACAGGCCCATAAGGGGTTTACATTGTTTGGAGGAGGGTTTTTGCTGCTCTTCTCACCTCCATTGTAGTCTTTCTACTACCAACCAACCACAACCAACCACACTACAAACCTCTCTCTCTCTCTCTCTCTCTAGCCGCAGTCAAATTTCGTCTTCTTCGAGCTTCAGTCTCTGGTTTTTTTGGGTTCATAACCTCACCAAAAGAGAACCAAAACAATGGCCACACTCGTCCCTCCCACTGCCACAACCACAACTCCGCCGGCCGTGATCCCGCCGGAGAAAGTCGATTACTTGAACCTGCCTTGCCCTATTCCCTACGAAGAAATCAACCGCGAAGCACTCAGTTAGTATTATTGTCCATTTAATCACTAATAATGTTTTCGATTCATTCTTACTCTTTGATTGTATTTTGATGGAATTTAGTTGGAATCAAATGGTTTAGAATAATGTATGCTTTATAAGTTGTTTTGTGTTAAACCCTAATTCAAAAACCCTAGATGTATTCAAAACTGAAAGGTTTTTTTTTTTTTTTTCCCCTTCTATATGTACGTTTAATGCATATGAACAAATTGATGAGAAAGGAAAAGAGTTTGATTCAGATACAAAAGTTTGTATTGCAAGTTTTCATGTCTGAAGTAGTGGTCAAAAGAAATATGATTCCGTGTGGGCAATGCAATGGTGGAGGAAGAACTTTTGTTGGGGATCGCTTGGATATAATGAAAAGCAAAAGTTGTCGTGTTTTTTGATTTGAGATCCGAAAGAGAGCCACTTTTACTTTACTTTGACTGTGATTTCATTACAGCATCTTTTGGTCATTGCAATGTGGTTTGAAATACTGCAGAATAGGTGTTTGATACTCCTGAATATTAGAGTTCTATGACGAAATTAACTTGTACAAGGATTGCACGTCACTGGAGCTATTGGGGTGGTTTTTCCTTCATTACATGGATGTTGATTATCTTAAAAAATGGTTTTGCAGTGTCCTTAAAGCCAGAATTGTTTGAGGGAATGCGCTTTGATTTTACCAAAGGACTTAATCAGAGATTTTCACTCAGTCACAGGTGGATCTGCATTTTCATATTTTTTTCATGCATTCTCTTTTCTTTTTTTCTTTTTTTTTTGAAATTTCCCATGTAGTTTTTATTTCCTACTCAAGGCTTGTTGATTCTGTTTTCTGTGCCTCGTCCAACTCTCATCAGTGTGTTCATGGGACCTACTGAAATTCCTTCTCAGTCTTCTGAAACCATTAAGATTCCCACTGCTCACTATGAATTTGGTGCTAACTTTATAGACCCAAAGGTATGTAATTAGTTCCATCACCATGCAATTAATTGATTTTTATGATAATCAATCTAACTAAGGGAACATTTGACGGTGTCCACAGCTGATGCTTTTTGGTAGAATATTAACTGATGGGAGGCTGAATGCAAGACTAAAGTGTGATTTGTCTGAAAATCTTGCTTTGAAGGCCAATGCTCAAGTAAGTAGGTTGATTATCACATATGGTACTTTTTCTTTTTTCTTTGGTTTTTGTGCAAAGGGAATATTCTGTACTTAACAAGCTTTGCGTTTCTTTTCCAGCTTACAAATGAACCACATATGTCACAAGGCATGTTCAATTTTGATTACAAGGTCAATTGCTTTTACTTATCAACATCTTTTTGCTTGTTCATGTGTGTGCCTTTATGTGCATTGCTTTTATTCCCATAACCAATATAAATTAATGTACCCAAATCTTGAAGTTTTGTTTTTTGTTTAGGAGTAGGCATGGTGTATGTCTCATAATAGGTTCTAATCGTTTTATATGTAGTTATTAGTTATCGGTAGAACTCTTCTTAGTTGTTAATTTGAAGCACACTATGGTTCCTTCAGTTGTGATGCTGTTACTAGTCTTCTTGACTCATTTTTCATATGTACAGGGTAAGGATTACAGGACACAATTTCAACTAGGAAATGGTGCCTTATTTGGAGCCAATTATATGCAGGTACAAATCTCTCCCCCCTTCCCCTCTTGATGACCAGGGTTGTTGACTTAGAAATTTATCTGATTTGCAAAACTATAAAATTTCCTATACTTTTCAAGATGAAAAATGACTCTGACTTTACATCTGTACTTTTCAAGTTGAGACTCTGCAGGCCTTAACTGTATGTGTTATGCCTGAAAGCCGTCCAATGAAAAAACACTTAGATTGGTCTTGATTCCCAAGTTGGGCAAGTTATGTGTTCCGTTCAATCTCAAATTTTATCTCAGCAATGTGTAAGAAGCAGTCATTGTGTATTTGGATGTAGGCTTTTTTGGGAGCCCAGTTCGGTGAGGCTGGACTATAGCATGCTTGTGCTTCTTTCAACTTGTTATTTCCAATCTCCACTCTCCCAACCCCCAATGGAAGAAAGGAAAATGATCATAATTGTTTGTCTTGCATTCCAATAAAGAAGCATAAGCTTGAGAGCTAGAAAGCAAAGACAACTTAGTTTCAAGCTCACCCATAAAGTTTTGAATTTTTTCTATCCTGCGAATTCCTCTAGAGGTGAAGGGAGAAGGAAGACTATTCTGGATATTGTAACGCTCTCAAAATAAACCCATAAATCATACATTTAAGACATCCATAAATTAAGAGAATAAAGCATAGTTCTATTTATCAGAGTATTCAATACAAGAGTGTTACATGTTGACAACAAAAGTAAGTGTCTTATGGGCTTACAACTTTCCAAGTCAACACTTGGGTTCAACAAAAGAGAGTTCTAACTCTAACATATTAAGCCCTTGGCTTGAATTACATGTGACACACAAAATAATAACAAAATAAGCCTTTAGCTTCTACAATCTCCCAAGCTACGTCCTTGGAGGCGGCATATCACCTGTACCTGAAAATGATGTCCCATATAGGGTGAGCCAACGCCCAGTAGAGATATGCTAAACATAATATGGGCAATTGCTAAAACATGAGTATTCGATAAATGTTAACACTGGTCAGTCAACTTTCAGCACAATCCAATTCCATGACAGATATGTCCATGTTTCATTTTACTTTCCTTTACTTAACCAATTTTTAGTTCATAAACATGGCTCAGAACCTGGCCAAACAATTAAATGAGACTACAAGTCATAACAACAATACTTCCATTCCAGATGAGATAACAACTCATATCAAAACACTTCCATACTTCACAATAGATACACATATTTGCTGTATCAATATCATATCCATGTTAATATGAAAGCCCCCTCCCCCTCCCCTCTGTTATCAAAGCTCCCTCCCCCTCCCTCTGTTATCAAAGCTCCCTCCCCCTCTCCTCTGTTATCAAAGCTTTCAATTGCTGCCTCCCCTCCCCTCCCCTATATATATATGCGGGAAGCTGAGATTGAAATAAAACTCAGAAAATAAAAAAAAATTCAAAATTCCCTACCCTCCAGACGGCGGGAAGCTGAGATGGAAGAAACTTGATCGTGATTGGCGGCATCAACGTCGCGGACTTGATTCCCTCCCCTCCCCTACATTGTTTTTTTTCCTTTTTTATTATTCTTTTCTTTTTTTTTCCTTTGTCTTTTTTTTTTTTGATTCTTTTCCTTTTAAAAATTATTGTTTTTATTCATTCTTTTCCTTTTTTGTTTTTATGTAGAATTTTTCTTTTCCTTTTTCTTTTCCTTTTCCTTTTCCTTTTAGATTTGAATCTCATGATGTAAATATTAAATTTGAATCATTCATCACTTTTTTCATAATAATTTTTTTTAAATTTCTATCTTAAGCAATGTTAGATGTACAAAATTTTTTTTTCTACATATATATAAATTTTCACATAAAAATGGAACCATACATGTAAGAAACATCCTCAATTAAAAATTTGTATGAATAGTGTGTACAAATTTTTTATTTAAATATATCGATTTCACAAAAATCAATGGTTAGGTTTTTTTTTATTTTTTTTTTCAGTGGTTAGGTTGTTTACTCTGTAGTGGTTAGGTTGCCAAAGAGGTTGCTATCAACCACGTGGATGAATTTTTGGTGAAAAGCCCCTCTCATTGGGCCTATTTTGTGTGAAGCCCACGGAATTAAACAATGACTCCAAAGCCCCTCAATTAAAAAAATGTCATGAATTGACTAAAATGTCCTTCCATATAAGTGGGGAAATATGAAACAATTAACAGTAAAAATTTACTATAGTAAAATTGTTTTTGATAGTGACAGTAAAATTTTACTTTGATTGATAGTAAATTTTTACTGTTAATTGTTTCATATTTCCCCACTTATATGGAAGGACATTTTAGTCAATTCATGATATTTTTTTAATTGAGGGGCTTTTGGAGTCTTTGTTTAATTCCGTGGGCTTCACACAAAATAGGCCCAATGGGAGGGGTGTTTCACCAAAAATTCATCCACGTGGTTGATAGCAACCTCTTTGGCAACCTAACCACTACAGAGTAAACAACCTAACCACTGAAAAAAAAACAAAAAAAAACCTAACCATTGATTTTTGTGAAATCGATATATTTAAATAAAAAATTTGTAGACACTATTCATACAAATTTTTAATTGAGGATGTTTCTTACATGTATGGTTCTATTTTTATGTGAAAAATTTTACATATATATATATATGTAGAAATTTTTTTTTGTACATCTAACATTGCTTAAGATAGAAATTTAAAAAAATTATTATGAAAAAAGTGATGAATGATTCAAATTTAATATTTACATCATGAGACTCAAATCTAAAAGGAAAAGGAAAAGGAAAAGGAAAAGAAAAATTCTACATAAAAAAAAGAAGGAAAAGAATGAATAAAAACAATAATTTTTAAAAGGAAAAGAATAAAAAAAAAATGACTAAAAGGAAAAAAAAGGAAAAGAATAATAAAAAAGGAAAAAAAATAATGTAGGGGAGGGGATCAAGTCCGCGACGTTGCTGCCGCAAATCACGATCAAGTTCTTTCCATCTCAGCTTCCCGCCGTTTGGAGGGGAGGAAATTTTGATTTTTTTTTTATTTTCTAAGTTTTATTTCGATCTCAGCTTCCCGCATATATATATAGGGGAGGGGAGGCAGAAATTGAAAGCTTTGATAACAGAGGGGAGGGGGAGGGAGCTTTGATAACAGAGGGAGGGGGAGGGAGCTTTGATAACAGAGGGGAGGGGAGGGGAGGGGAGGGGGAGGGAGCTTTCCAAGTCAACACTTGGGTTCAACAAAAGAGAGTTCTAACTCTAACATATTAAGCCCTTGGTTTGAATTACATGTAACACAAAATAAGCCTTCAGCTTCTACAGATATTGTTGTGATCATAACTCTTTTCTGCTGTTCTGCAAAACCTTTCTCACGGACCTGGTCATACTAGCACAAAGATATTTGGGCAAGTGAAGCACATTATGTTGCCAAATTCTTTTTGTAGGTGGTATTTGACATTTATTGATTGGAATATCTGGAGTTATTTTAGGCAGCAAGAGCAATGACATAAAGGTTTCTTACTATGGAACCGTTTTGTGAACTGTTGACATTTCATAATTGATTTATGTGTTTTGCTACGTGCTATCTAAAATTGTTAATACCTTCCCTGCCTTTATTTATTGTTTATTATTATTTTTTGCGGTACTGTTTTGATAATATGCGATGTTAATGATTCTGTCTTTCAAGATGGATATGTTTTTTCAAGGCTTGGGCAATTGCAAATCGCCGTTGCATATCCGCTTGTAATTCTTAGTCTACTGCAGATGATTTCTGTCTTCTGTTTTTCTCCTTCAACCCCTTTTCCCTGGTTTACTCTCAGAAAGGGAAATCAATTTCATAATTATGTAGATTCAGTGACATATTTTCTTAAAATGTCATTTTGCCTGCAGAGTGTAACCCCACATTTGTCTTTGGGTGGTGAAGTGTTCTGGGCTGGTCAGTATCGGAAGTCTGGAATTGGTTATGCTGCTCGATACAACACAGATAAGATGGTACTACAGCCTGGCTTGCATGCCATGTTATATTCTTATTTTTCCCCTCATCTTCTATATGCATTTGTGGGTATATGTAATCACACTGTTAGTAAAATTACTTATGTGTTGATTCTCGTATTACTGCACAAGGTTGTAAGTTTTCTGCTCAGAATGCTAAAGAAATATTCACTCATACTCCTGCAGCCCCTGCCCTAACCTTTTTATTTCCTCTGAAGGATTGCATGCTATGTTATATTCCATTTTGTTTTTTCTAACTTCTATGTGCATTTGTGGGTAATTTTAGTAATAGTACTGACATGTAGGATTACTTATCTATTGTTGCTCGTATTGCTACCTGAGGTGTAACTTTGTTGCTCTACAAAATCTTGGGAGAGATATTGATAGCTACATTACTTGCAATGGTATAGAACTTGGTTTGGAGTGCATTATGATCTTTAAGCTTCCTTTTGATATAAAAGAAGCCATATATGGTTTTGGCATGCATTTGTTGCAGCACATGATTCGATCAAAGTCATTGAAACGCGGATTGTTTTTGTGCGAGGAACAAGATTGGGATGTGGTAAGCCACGCAATCTAAAATGTGGTACAACAAGGGTGGATTTTGTTAGAGCACAATATTAGATTTTATTAAACTATTTTTAAATGTGAGAGCAATTTATTGTTCATCATTATATATCTAATGAATTATAGTATATTATTCTTTAAATGATAAGAACACATTTTAGGAGTACTACGGATTCTTTTTTACATTTTTTCCTACCAAAACTCTACTCTTTCTAGATTTTAAGTCTTTACATATTAATCTTTAAATTATAAGAACACATTTTAGTTTTGTTTTCTTTTTCTTCCAAGGGAAATGGTGAGGAGATAAATAGGAATGTATTTTTGGATAGCTCTGGGTCTGTAAATTTATTGTATTGGAATAAAAGTCGTCATGTTTATGAATGGGCAATCTAACCGGTAAATTGTTAGGGTCTTGGTGTTTTTTTGGGTCACACTGGTTTGGACCAGCTTTCATAAGCTTGAATTCGGCTATATATAACTTTCATTTTCCCCTAGGCCAATCTATGAGTTTTAGTCACCAATTTTCTTATGCAATATTAGTTCAGTGAGAGCTGAATGTATACAAGGATTTGAAGCAGCATGTCTAATTGAATTAGGATTTTGTTGCACATACTGGATTATTATATTTTAGGCTCATCTTCTTCCTTCAAAATCTAGACCTTGATAAGCACATGGAATGTTGTAGGGCATAGAATCTCTTGTGTTCTGAGAACATAGTGGTGACCTTAAGCTTTGATACCTAACCAGCGTAGGACAAATGTGAAGAACTCTTGTATTTGTAAACTCAAAACTAGTCCAGTTACTGCTACTGGGTACTGTTCACCTCCCTCAGGAACAGCCCCAAAACTTTTCATTTATAATGTTTTACCCTTTTGTCACCATCTAAGAAGAATGGACACTTCTAAAAAGGTGGCGTGTCTGTGTCATGTCCGCGTTGAACACATTGACACTCGTTGGATACTTTCCCGACACGTGTTTGACATTCATCCAAACGTGTCCTATTTTTTTTAAATAGAATTTAGACTTTGGACACTTGGAGGACAGACATGTCCATTGATTAGACACACATGAAACTAATTATAAGTTTGAACAAAATAATTTAGAATACAATGATAAAAGAAAAATAATGTTAATTTTTAGAAATTAGTGTTATATTGTGATTATTTAATATGTTAGAATGATATATTCATATATGACATATAATAAATATATAAAACTATATATTATGTGCGTGTCCTTCACGTGTTGCGTCTTGTATTTTTTGAAAATTGTTGTATCAGCGTGTCTGTATTGTATTTGTGGTGTCACATGTTTGTATCCATACTTATTAGGTTGCCATGTTTAAACCCTAAAATTCTACTCTTTATCTCTCTCTCTAAAAAAAATTATGGCCACTAAATAGTTTTTCATCGCTGCCCCATATTAGTTTTAGGCTCATTACCAGTAGGACAGTCCTCCCCAAACTCATTCTAAATTATCATCCGTGCGTGTTGACTTTTGCTAGACAAAAGAGTTTGAGAAATAGTATTATTGTCTCCATGAAAATAGAACATGTACTTTTTTGCTAAGCCAAAAAAAAAAAAAAAATTTAATTTTTGGCTGGCAGAGTGTAGCTCACATGTGTTCATTTTGCTTAAGAAACTCGTGTTGCTTCTGTCTGTCTGTCTCCCTTCTAGTAAAAGTAAGCCTCTAATCCAATTGTTGCTGTTGGTTGAATGTATATTTTAATTAATTTTTTTCCTTGAAATTATATGTAACCTCTTCTATCAGTTTGTTTGTATCAGCTCTAAAAATAAGTAAATATTGGTTTTTTTGGATATCCTTTTCTTTCTCACTCTACCCCTTTTTTGTTTTTTGTTTTTTTATCTTTGGTGGCTGGGGAGGGGCAAGGGCCGAAACGCTGTTATATATGTGGCTGATTGTGTTGGGTTTAGTGATGGATAGTAGGGATTTTGCTTTACTTAAACAAATATAGTCCTTATGCAATGTAATCAAATTCACAACTTTTGCCTGCAGGTTGCCACTGGGCAAGTTGCTAGCACTGGAATGGTTGCTATGAGCTATGTTCAGAAAGTATCTGAGAAGGTAAGGGAGTTGAGTTGTTCAATGATTTCTGCTGATTAGTTATCCTTGCACGGTTCTCTAACTGCTTCCTTCCATGTAGGTTTCTTTGGCATCAGAATTCATGTACAACTACATGTCAAGAGATGTGACGGCAAGCGTAGGTTATGATTATATTCTCCGACAGGTGACTTCTGCTATTGCAATTGATAATGTCTGTGCCATCTAGTTATTTACAAATTTGTAGACACATCTCTTGAGGGCATATTTTCTATATGCATTTCAAGTGTGTTTGGTTATTAGTTTAAATGTTTTTGTTTGTGATTTTTTCCCCCCGGAAACTATGTGGACCAGATAAAGAACCTGAGGACCTTTGTCCTGCTCCTGAATATTTGGTTACTGTCTGTCTAGGTCTGTTACATGGACTCAGTGTCGAGTGCAGGTATGTATCTAGATGTCGGACTCATCAAACCATAAATTTTAGAGTACATGGACTTAAAAAAAATGTCATATTTTTAATCATGTATGTGAGATAAAATAGTGCTGCTATATGTAACTTATAGTGTCAAAAAGACATTTATAGCAATTATACAATAATATGTACATATAATAATAGTGTTATATACAATTATATAAGAAGTATCCGTTGAAAAGTATCCGACACATCCCATACCTCTGTACAAGTGTCGGGTGTCCAACGCGGATATTTGATTTATTTTGAAGAGTCCGTGTAACATAGGTCTAGGTAATAGAGTACTTTCTTTGCACTGATTACCTTGAAACCTAGTGTTTGGGCAAGAGTGTCGAGTGCACTCAATCAATTTCTGTATGTAGCCTCCTAACTGTGGTAAACTAGCTTTTGGGACATGATCACTCAATATCATATAACGGAATGTTGCATTAATTTTACTGAATCACGACGCTGGTTACTGGTTAGTACCATAATGAACGTATTATAATCTAATATTGATATTGTCAGTTTAAGTCTCTTAATTGCACACGTGCTTTTCTCTTGCCTTCCAAATCTTAACCATGGTTAACCTCAAAATCCCATATCAACTCACTTTCAAGTTTCATCTGATTAAATAAGCGGGAATGAACCATGCATCATGGAAGCTGAGCAACCTCTCCCCCCTCCCCACTAAGGAAGAACACAGAAAAAATAAAGTATCTATAAAAACAAAAATACCTCGAAGTAGGTGAGATTGGATCCTAGCCGCCTAGGACTACTCTAGTTCAACTATCAAGAGATTTTACTGGCTAGTGAGCTCTGTCCACAACTTTTTAGGTAGGCTAGAACAACTTTTTAGCTTTGCTCTACAGGAACTAATAATGCTACATGTTTAATTCCATGTACACTTTAGCTTTTATAACCTTTCCTCTTTCTAATTGAACCTCGTTTTCTTCTTTCACTGTTTGTCGATTCTATGAAACTGAAGCTGTTGTTTCAAAAAGATGGTGTTCTTTTATTTCTTCCCCAGTAATGAGGGAGGAATTTGAGCGTTTGGATTTTGGTACTTGCCTTCTGATGAATGGATTTGACATAAATATTATTAGAACTCAGTTGAACAATGTTCTTTAATTGTCAATTTTTGTATCACTGATTGTTTTGAAATGACATAAAAAAATGTATATATTTTGTTAATATTGATAAAAAGGAACAAACCTCTCTTGTTGTATTTGTTGGCTTCCACCTATCCTTCAGTAATTGCTTTCAAATGAAGTTTCAAAGATTGTTTTTTCCAATTCTTTCTTTATGTATTTATTATTTTAAGGCTTATGAATTTGATAATCTGCGAGAAACATGAGCCATACTAAAGGTTTTTGGGTATGGTGGCTGGCCAATCATTAGCTGTTAGTTTTGATGGTGGAACAAAAAAGTGAAGCATATTGGGCTTTGTTTTTTTATGATTTCTATACCGTAGTTGATACGGCCATTTATCTCTTGGCCCTTGTCGAAGTGATCGAAAGATCTCTTGCTTTGAATTTCGAGTCCCCGTGTTGATGACATTGAGCCAGATTAGTATATTCAGAATTCAAAGTTTGTCTTGGAAGCAGATAGATTACAAACTAATTAATCATTCTGGTTGACTTATTTCATGCATTTGTTACAGTGCCGTCTTAGAGGGAAGATTGACTCCAATGGCTGCACAAGTGCTTTTTTGGAAGAGCGATTGAATATGGGTCTCAATTTTATTCTTTCTGCTGAGGTAAGAATCACATTAATTTTCTCCTTTCCCCTCCGAGGGAGCCTAAGGGGGTCCAGGGTTAGTGAGCGGTTTCAACTTTCAATGAACTAGAAATAACCATTTGGGTTCATGAATGTTCTTTCTAGTTATATGTCTTGCATGTGGCAAAGTTTTGACGGGGTTCTCCAACTAGGAGCTCTCCTGGATTGATGTAACTGTGCGCGATTGCTTAAATCTAGTATTCTGGAAATTGTAACCATGCCTTGGTGATCTTGATCATCACTAAGGGATGCTTGGTCCTCTAGTTTGGTCCATCAAACACTAATAATGGCAATTTTCCCCTGCCCCCGATGGGGGTGGGAATGAGTTTTGCTCCCCCTCCCCGCTCTACCCTGGGGTTTGTATTCTGTTCCTTTTCCTTAACAAGTCTTCAAATGCTTACCTTGCAGATAGATCACCGGAAGAAGGACTACAAATTTGGGTTTGGATTGACAGTGGGAGAATAGGATAAAGAGGCTCGGATGCTGTCCTCGGTTAGATTTAAGCTGCTCATCGATGCAAGCAACTCTGCATGTATATGGGGCTTGATATTTTTTTTATTATTTAAATTTGTGATGGGAGATCAAAGAACACCAGTTTTGTACTTGAATCTGGAGTACCATTATTTGTGAGGGGGCAAGCAGCAGCAGCTGCTGCAACAGTTTTATAGCATCATCCATAGTCGTCGATTTTTGCAGTTTGGAGCTATTATTCATTTCATTTCCCCTTTTAAAGCTGTAGAACTTGTTATAATGGAAATGGAGATTTATGTTTTGATGGTGATTGCATCAACAATGAGTTTTATTTTGACTTACTAGCTGCGAGTTTTATTTTGACTTAATAGCTGCATGTATCTGATGCCTTTGGTGGTGGGAAACTAGATATTAATAAAGTTGCCAATTTCTGTGAGGTTAGATACTTCACTAGCATTTGCTTTATTACGTTTGGGTGGAAAATATTTTTTTGTATTTTTATACTCCGTTTGTTTAGGTAGAAAATACTTTTCGTATTTTTTGGCATTTAATAAAAGTCAACAAAAATGTTTTGTGGTCAACAGAAAAACAAATTTATTTAAGTAGAAAGTGGTTTTTTACTTTTGATGAAGTTGAGAATTTTCGAGATTTAAATTTGATAAATTACACTTTGCATCCCTAAGCTTTGCAGTAAATTTTATTTTGATTTCTACACATGAAATCATAACAGTCACTCCATGCATTTTTAGTCAAATTTCAATTTAGTCATTGTACATAAAATTGTGACAATCAATCCTATGTAAATTTCATTTTGGTCTCTATACAAGTGTCAGTCTCCTCTTTCTATTACTCAATTGTTTAAATCTTTAGCAAATTTAGTCACGTGATAAGAATGTGACTACAACATAAGGGTAAGAAAAGAAAATCATTTACATTTTTTACTAATACACATCTCATCTCAAAATTTATATCAAAATATGACTGTATCAGGCTAAAATAAAGTTGTGAACAATTAAGAAGATGAACTAAGGTTTTGTATAAATTGGGATCACAAAACTCTATTTTTCACCATAACACAGTCTTCTGTCTATTTATCTTTCTTTCTCTTTGATTTCTTTGTTACATTTTTATTTTATTTCAAAAGCTCTGCTTTCTTGTCTTTTTGTCCCATTTTTTATCATACAAACACACATATATATATATATATATATAGAGTATTATATCACTCTCATGTGCTTATTATGTAGGACAAAGTGTATTGATGGAAACATAAATGCTTTTCCCTTCTTACCTTCATTTTGTAGTCACATTTTTGTCACATTACTGAATTTTGTTAAAGATTTAAAAATGAAGTTACATAAGAGGGACATTGACAATTGTGTAGGGATCAAAATGAGATTTGAATAAAAGTGCAGGGGGTTTACTGTCACGATTTAATGTGTAGGAACCAAAGTGAGATTTGACAAAAAAAAACAGGGGTTAATTGTCATGATTTCATATGTAGGGACTAAAGTAAGATTTGGTATAAAATGCAAGGGTGCAAAGTGTAACTTGCCCTTTAAATTTTATCAATGTCAGGACTTGGGGATACTGTTGTGATTCACAGCAGCCTCATGTGGTACTCTGGTAGAGGCCTTTCTCGAGTCTTTTTTTTTTTTATTTTATAATTTGAACCGTTTATATTGTAAGGTTAGCTAAGTATATTTTATATGTAAAAATGAAGTTAATCAAAAATCTATAACCTCATGATCAAATACTTATTATTTTCAAAAATTATAAAAATGAAGTTAACCATTTATTTTTTTTAAAAAATAAATGTGCTCTTGTTACAGAGTTATAGATGTCCAATCAATTTAATTTTTTGCATGAATGATCTAATCAACGAACCTAACAATATGAACGGTTTAGATTATAAAAAAAGATTCGGAAATGACCTCCATCAGAACACTACTGAAAGCTACTGTGAATTGCTCACAACATCCCCAGTACCTCAATGTCACCATGCTTTTACAATCATCTTCACGTCCACCACTCTAATCCCACTCCTACCACTGCCACGACCACCTAGACTGCGGCCACAACTCCACCGTCTCTATCACTGTACTACCCCATTAATACAATCACTAATAAATTAATTTTAAGGGCAAAATCAAATCAAACATAAGAAAATATTTTCCTTCAATGCAATTGAAAGCAGTCTTGACATGCATTTTTAATGTTAAGACTGGTATACATACATTGTTATCATTGTGTGGTGTTAACAATTTGTAGAAACTCAATTCGAACTCACATAGGCTATTAAAATTTGGGTTAAAGATGGGTCTATCACTTTTCTCATGAATAGTTTTGATCTATGCATAGGCATATTTGTCTCTACGCATGTTGGCTTTATTTGATATGAAACGAAGCTTTCGATGAATAAATTGAAGTTTAAATTTTATTAATGAGTGAATGGAACTCACTTTGATATTATTTCGAGTAAAGGAGTGGAGAGAGTTATGTGGCGTATGTATATATATATTATTTATCAAATTTAGATTTAGTAAGGCTTGATTGGACCGTGTTGTTCGATCATGTGGGACACAATATGAATATAAATCCTTTAGAATTATTTTTTATAGAGTGATCTTAAAGTAATATTTTTGATAATTGAGATTTAGGGATTGTTTGGAGTGTTCTAAATAAGTGTACTTTTTGTCTTTTTAGATTAAAAAATTGAGAAAAAAAATATGAATATTTGGGTTAACTTTTTGACTTTTTATAGAAAAATATGTATTAAAAAATTGTATAAATTAATGTGTAGAAAAAAATTAAGATTGCGAGTTGTGCAACTATAATTTTTAACTTTTGATGAATAATGATAACTTTTTAAATAATTTTTTAACTGTTTTTCATATTGTCAAGCTTGACCTTAATTCAAGTAAAAGTCAAAACTAAAAATGCCCTCACCATCTTAAATTTAAGGAAAATGAGTGGGAGCACTAATTAGTGCTATCACTAATGATGTAGCAGTAGGCCCCACCATGAATGATTTGATGTTTTAACTTTGGTGTTATATTTTTTTTATTTTTTATTGAGTATCATGTCATTAGTGATCTTTTTAAAGCTCTAAAATTAATGATCTCTATCATTGTTGTAAATTTAATTGATATGGTGTGATTTAGTGATGGAACATAGACTAGACCAGACTTTTACAAAATGTACTAGTAATTCAAGTCCGGTTCGATCAAATCATTAAAAAAAGGGTTAATTACGGGTGGATCCTATTTAATAGACTCAATTACTTTGAAAGTCCTATGCACTTTTTAAATGCACAAAAAAATCTTAAAATATTTATTTTACCATCATTTTGTGGAGGCCAAAAGGCATATATATATCTTATTATTCCAAAAGTTTCACACCACTACTCTCCACTGCCATCGCTGTCCATTCGTTGCTACCACCGTCATCCTTGATATCCACTCACTACCATTATCACTGTCATTAGGTTGTCGCCACTGTTCATCATTATGGTTGATCTACACAACCACCACATCAACACCGCCTCCTCTGTTATTACCACTATTCTCCATCATTATCGTCCTCGTTAGCTACTATTTTCTGGCAGTCTCATCTCGATATACACTAATCTAGTTATTCTAGTGGTGAAATCAACTATAAATGACTCTAAATAATGGTAATTCTCCGAATTTACCTTACTCTCTCTCTCTCTCTATTGCTTAAACCAGATTTAGTGCAAACCAAATTCAGATTCAAAATTATTTTTTAGTGATAAATTTATCAGTCTCTCTTGCTCTTTATGTGCATGGGAGATGGGGGTTAGTTTCGTAAATGAGTGAGTGAATATGAGTAAGAATGAGTGAATCCAATTTGTCATTTGTAATTTTTTTACAAAACAATTAGTGATAACTTATTAATGATTTTATTAGTGATAAATTTATCAGTGAATATGTTTTTAAATAAATTTATTAGACCAATCTCTATTACTTACTTTATGTCTGCTTGTGTGTAGTTGTATTTCTGTGAATGAATAAATATATAAGTAAATGACAGTGGGTGAGAGAGTAAGCAAGCAAGTGTGTGTGTGTGTGTGTGTGTATGTGTGTGTGTGTAAATATGAGTGAGTAAATGTGTGAGAGTAAGTGACCGAGTGGTGGAGATGGTGGTGGTAGTAGTGACTTGGTGGTGATAGATGTCATTTTTGTTAAAAAATGGCCGGAGAAATGTCGCTAGAAACCATTGTCAGAGGTGGTCGCCGGAAACTATCGTTGGAGGTGGTCATCGGAGAGACAGCAGTTGAAAGTGGTCACTAACAGGGGAGAAATGAGTCATAATAGGGATAAAGACGGTGAATGAATGGTATTTTAGGGATACTGATAAGTAAAAAAAGAACAAGACTTACAGATAAATAAGTCTAATCAATAGGACGACCCTGTAAGTACCCTTAAAAAAAAGAGTGTTGCTATTAGCACCCCATTAATTATTTTACACCCTCCCTCATTTTTTGAATTTTTTTATTACAATAATAACCTTAAATGAAATTATTGCAGAGAATATCAATCGTTTTGGGACATATAGCATTTCTGGTTTAGACTCGACCCATTGTATGTCTTGGATCCTAGTTTCATTGTCTTATATAGTTATCCATGACTTGTTTCCCTTTACTTCACTTTGAGTTTGGCTATTGGGATGTGTTGGTTGTGTTTGGAACAGGTTGGTAGTTTGTTTTTTAAAATGGTTATTGCCCAGAATTTTGTTCCTTCGCTCGAGCGACACTTCTTGTGCTCGAGCGGTCTTTGTGAACCTCTAGTACTTTTGCATGTCTGCAACAAATACTGGGAGTGTGTATTCTTCACTCGAGTGACGCTTCTTACGCTCAAGCGACGACCTTCTATCTGTAAAACTTCTGGGAGAATGTATTTGTAGCTCGACTTTTTGTGCTCTATTTCGGAAGACGAATAAGCCCTACAGTATCGGACTCCCGTGGTTCTGAATCTAATCTCACAAGTGCAATGTGAAATAGATAAACACCAAAGAATCCAAATCCGGCAAATCTTTTGGAAAATCGATTTTGAATCAAATTGCCAAATATGAACTGCTTTGCCAGATAGAGAGTCGCCACTTAAATATTTTTGGGAAATCTAAAAAACCCATGACTCGTGCCAAAGGCCACGAGTCCGTCATCACCAAAGTTGTCTCAGCTCGGGAACTTAGGTACGAGAAGGGTAGGTCATGAATTGAGCACCCCCGCTTGCCCAATCAAAGATCGGCCTCTACTAATCATGATATGAATCTTATTTACATTATATGCTCTTGTTC